CTGGTTTAGCATGGCCTGAGGTGGCTCTGGGGAGCAGGATGGCACCAGGGAGTGTTGGAATTCCCTAATCCCACGTGCAGCCCACCCAAGGAGATGGAACTTCATTAACTGGGTTCACCAGGCAGTGGTGGCTGGTCTTGGTTTCTTTGGGGTCACTGGCATAAGTGTCATCAGCTCCAAAAGCAGCAGATCTCCTGTGTTTTTTCTGCAGGAGCAAGCAGGCTTCCTGGGAAGGGGAGGGAAGGGAAATGGTCTCCATCCTTTTTTTTTATTTCACAGGCTCCTTCCCTTGTCATGCCCTTTTGTCGTCCCACCTCCAAGAGGACAATTCTGCTCCAGAATGTGGTTGTTCTTGGAGCAGTGGAGGGGTCACTGGGCCTCCCTGGGGGGGTCACTGGGGCTGTGCCCTTTGCCTCTGAGGGGGGCAGAGCTGGTGAGGTCCAGATGATTCCATGCAAGAGCTAATTAATGGCCTGCCCATGTTTCCATGGCAACTCCCTGTTGTGCTCTTAGCCCTGATCCAAATGGACACTCTGTACACTTGTGCAGCCATAGCATCAGCATGTTAATAAGACTTGCTGACGTCTTTTGCTTTCTGCCACACCGGCTGGTAAGTCTAAATTTGAATAACTTAAAAAGAGCACATTTCTTAGTAAGCTCCCACTGCATTCCCTCATGTGACTTGAAGCAATTGATCCCAGAATTCTTCTGCAGTTGAAGGGAAGAAGCAGGTAGATTCTGCCCTTTTTGCCATGCTTTGGCTTTGGGACACCTGGCATCTGGCTTTTCTGCTTTTCTCTGGGTTATTTGGAAGCTCCAGCTTTCATGCAGTCCCTGATTTAATGACAAGGGACAAGTAATCTGCCCTGATTTGGTAGGACCATCTCTGCATTAGCTGAGCTTGACAATCTGATGGATTGCTCCCTAACTCTTTCTTCTACAGAGGAAGGAATCTGGATTTCATTCTCATGCAGTCAGGGAATGGTTACTGATATTTGAGAGTCTGAAAATCCCTTTTATCATTAAACTCTACAACAATATCTACTGATAATTCAGGATAGTGAATTTAGTTTTATGTGTGAAAGGATTCTCTGGGTCCCACCTAATTCTCTTCTATTAATTACCCTCCATTCTAATAATTGTCTTGCAAACCACATTTTCCTGACCAAGTGGAGTGGACCTGAACATAATTTGCTCAGAAGCCCATTAACATCATTAACAGCACTGGTGTGGCCTCTCCAGGGGCACCTGAACTGCTTTCTCTTGTTGAGACAGAGGTATGCCAGATGCCTCCACATCTCTTACTGCTTGCAGAACAAATTCCCTAAAATCTGTGGGAGCTGGTTCTGGATCTGGCTGTCACAGCCTGTCCCCTCACCTGGGGAAGAGCTTATGGGACTGGGCAGGGGAAGAAGAGCATGTTCCCTGTTTAATTTATTTCCTGGCATCAAAAGCATCACCCAGGCCACATTTGATTGAGTTGTTTGGTTTTGGTTTTCCATTTTGTCACTGACATAAACTTTGAGCCCAAAATGGTGGTTGAGCTGCCAAATAGCTGCATTTCCCCCTACCCTGAAGGACACGGGAATTTATTCTTGGCATTTTGGCTTCGTTCCTTCACAAAATTTCATCTGGCCATGTTGGGACACGACTCCACATTGCTGTGCTGATGTGCTGTCATATCCAGGTGCCACGTTGCACCACCAGGTACCCCCAGGGTGAGTTCCACATGCTGACAGCATCTGTGTGCCAAACTTCCTTCTGTGTCCCTGCTCCGGTTTTCCACACTCCATGGGAACCTCATGATGGGAACGTTAGCTCATGTTAGTGCCTCTCTAACTCCCCGCTGTCCACCAAGGCTTGGTTCTGACTGGGACAGCAAGGATTTAATGTTGTGTTGGCACCCAGTGTCTCACTGAGGGTTTATGGAGTTGCCCCCCATTAATTCTGAGGGCTGCTCCTCCCAAGGCACCATTAAAGATACATGAGGGCAATTGATTTGATCCCTAACAGTCCCACAAATACCAGGCAAGATTTAGGTAATGTGTTCCCAGTTACCCACGAGATCTGAGATTTAATTGCAACTTCTTTGGCTTTGAGTCACTGGAGCTGGATTCTTATCTCAAAGGAAGGAAATTTATCGAATTAATTTCACTTTGTGTTGGCACGGCCACTATTCCCAGCCATGAGCAAATCCCATCATTGCATGCAGGCTGCAGCTCAGGCTGGAGGTTGCTCATAAGCAGTATTCAGTATTTTTAGAGCAATAACTATAGTTCTTTTCAGTGTCAGCTCTTTGGGTCATACATGTAATTTAAACAGTACATTTCTATTCCCTGCTTAGATGGATGTAACTGTCAGGAACATTATTTCTACTCGTAATTACAAGTTTGACATTCATTTCCCATGAATACTCTCTACTATTTGCTTAAAACTACCCTCCATGCATATTACTGCTGGTGAATTTTCTCTTATCAGAAAGCTGAGGCAGAAATGTCACATCTATAAAGAACCCTCTTTGAATAGTGGGGTCTATAATATGAACTTCTACACAAAGCAAAGACCGATCAAGGGAAAAACAAAGACTGGGAAAAGTAGGAAACCTTGTGGCCTCTTGTGTGGATCGAGCAGGAGAGAGAGGAAGAGATCTGGATGCAAGTTAAGGAAAACAAAGTTACTACTAAAGGGAATCAATGGATGTTCCTAGAAATTGTTGTTTAATTCACCCAGCTCTTCTTCTGGTACATAAACTCCCCCACCTTTGGGCAGGCAGACAGGGACTGATGTGTGCTTTTGTGACTAGGACTCCTTTTTTGTTTTTTTCCTACCCAAATAGCTTCTCTTCTGCCCTCAATAACTACCCAGACTGCTTCTCTTATGCCCTCAATTGGTAGCTCAGCAGGAGAGTTCAGTGAACGTCTATTTTCCTTAAGGTATCCACTTCCTTTGCAGGAAATTTGGATGAGCATCAACCAAAATCACAGGAATTAAAGTAAACCTGAAACCAAACTTAATTGCCCAAGTCCCTGGTGTCACATGAGTAACACCACAATGCATTTAGGTCTGCCCAGCAGAACTGATGTTATTCTCAGAATCTGAGCCAAAGCCTCCAAGTAAGGTCAGCATTTCTACAAGACTATTTTGGGTTCCGTTGAATCAACATGTTAAATCTTGAGCCAAGTCTGAGTTTTGTGCTTTGGATTGGTCTGTCCTTCCTGCTCAGGCCTGTTTCTCCTTGGGATACACCTCCAGCTCTGGTAGAGTCAGGATCAGAGATTTATTTCTCCCTTCTAGGAGGGCAGAAATTCCAGTCTCTCATTAGCAGTTCTCACAATCAACCTAAACTAAAAAAACAGTGAAATTAAAAGAAACACCTCACTACTCACCTCCCACAGTGTTCAGGCTTCATCACCCAGCTCAGCTGATCCTACATTCACACACTCCATTCAACATATTATATTTTTTAAATCCAAACACACGTGCACACACATTCCAAAAAATGTTACCCACCTTTTAGTTGTTTTAGTTATTTTTTTGATAAGTCAATCCTTTTTAATTTGGCTTTATCCTTGCAAACCCAGGGTAGATTTGATTGTTGTGCTTTTCCCTCCCACCCCTCCCTTTTACTACTTTTGCATATATTTTAATAAAATGTTCTCATATATTTTCTGTATTTTCTTTTTTTTTTTTTTTTTTTTTTTTTTTTTTTTTTTTTTTTTTTTTTTTTTTTTTTTTTTTTTTTTTTTTTTTTTTTTTGTGGACAGAGAAAGTGTAAGTGAAACAAGGATATTATTCACAGCCACAGAAACATAAGAAAGTAAAAGGGCTTTTTCCTTCCCCAAAGAACAAAAAATGACCTATGTACCCTTCAGTGTCTCCAGGCTTCCTTGGAAATGGATTCTCTTGCATTGTGCTTTGGTTTTTGTGGTGATGAGGGTTTCCCAGCGTTACTGGAAAGCCCAGAACCTGAGGCAGAAAGCCAAACTCAGGTTTGCCTTGAAGTCCAGGTTTATCAAAGTGGCGCTATGATTTTGGCTTTCTCTGCTTTAGGAAGGAACTCTGTTGAAGTACCTGATAGATGAGTGACTGAAGATTTACAGGTGCTGCTCCCCTAGCTCTGGCACCGCTGAAGGCACCAGCAGCCTCATGCAGGGCATGAACTCCGGGTCGGCAAAACAGCCGAAGGGACCCAGCACGTCCCATTTGCAGCGCTGAGACTCTGCCTCTGGTGAAAAGTCTTCCAAGATGGAAATCCCAAAGTGAACACACCTGAGACCTGCACCCACCCTCCACCTCTTATGTGTCTTCTCGCCAAGGAGGCACCAGTTTTACTCTCAAAGAACTGCCATCCCCACCTGTCCTCCAGCAAAGCTCAGCACAGGCTGCGGGAATAACTCAAGGTAAAGCTGGCGTAAATCTCAACAGAAGAAATCTCTTTTATCTGTAACCATTTACTCCCACTATAGGAATAATGGCAGCTCTTTTACATTTACATATAACTCTGTTTGTTTACTTTGATTTTTTGTTTTGTTTTGTGGTTTTTTTTTTTATGTCTCTTTGTCTTGGCACCTGCATAGCAGAAAACTTTACAGTTCATTACAGAAGTTTGCCCCTCTCTCTGCTCCTCCCTTATATTTACTCTGCTGCCTCTGAGGACTAGCAAGCAACACCCCCAAGGTCAAGAGAGAGTAAGGTGTTACCCTTTTATGATGGATTATAGAAATAACAAACATGCCTGACAGTTTTATACAGCTGCTAGAACGGGTTTAGTTTTCAACAAATGAAGAATTTCCTCTTTTTTTTTTTTTCCTCTTTTGTATATTAATTACATTTTACAAATCTTGTTTTTTTCCCCCCTTTCTCTTTATACTTTCCCCCCGCTTCTCATTCTTGCTTTTTTTAGGTTTTTTTTTTCTTTTTTTTTTTTTTTTTTTTTTTTTTTTTTTTTTTTTTTTTTTTTTTTTTTTTTTTTTTTTTTTTTTTTTTTTTTTTTTTTATTATTTTTTTTTTATACAGCAAAAGGATCAATTCACCAACATGTGTCCGTGGATAAGTCCGGGTTAGCAGAGTTTGGCCGTCATCTGGTCTGACTGTTTGAGGATCTCGGTGTTGTACAGGTCCAGGGCGTGGTTCACGCGGATGATCTCGCTGTTGGTGAGCTTCAGGCGGTGCTTGAGCATACAAGAGAACAGATCCAGCTGGGGCTTCCCTGGGGCCACGGGAGGCGCCAGTCTGTTGATTCGGTCCCGAATATCCAGCAGCAAGAGCATGACGGAGGAGGAGGAGTAGAACTGCCCGCCCTGCGTGTAGGACTGGTTGACCTGCTGCACCGCGCTGCGCAGCAGGTCGGCGTTGAAGCGCAGGCTGTAGCCGTAGACCTGCACGTCAGAGATCTTGATGTAGAACTGGCGCTTGGTGGGGTCAGAGAGGTCCACGGGCCCTTGGCCAGTCTCGTTCCGCAGCAGGGAGGGCAGCCGAGTCCGGCTGCGCAGGTAGATGTGCACAGTCTCAAAAAAGGTTTTCCACCGGTTGCCCAGCAGCAGGGTCCAGTTGTAGCACTGGCTGTTTTGGAGGCGGATTTTCTCCCAGCGGGGGTAGCCGTACTCCCCGAAGGGCATGTTCCAGCCCTCCGAGTGGCTCCCGCTGAAGGGGTTGACGTAGACGAAGAACATGGGGTCCAGGCTGCTGTTGCGCATCTGGCAGATGCGCATGGAGATCCCGATCACCATGTGGATGAAGTCCATCCGGTTCTTGTTGCTCTTCAGGGTGAGGGACATGCGCTTGCGCCACCTGGGGTCGAAGAAGGTGTCCAGGCGGATCTCGTTGCTGATGAAAGTGGTGTGCACGTACAGGCGGGAGTCCATCTTCTGCAGCAGGTACTTCAGCTCCAGGTCCTGGAAGTCCAGGTCTGTCTCGAAGCTGATGAACTGCTCGCTGCGCTCCGAGTCCACGTTCTGAGGCTCGCAGCGACCCCGGTAAAGCTTATAGCCCTTGTTGCACGAGCCACAGAGGGAGATGTTGGCAAGGCTGCACATGGCACAGCTGTTGTTGCCCCCGATGATGCAGGGGATGGGGCGCTGGCACAGGCTGGTGCCGCCGTGGCAAACGCAGCTCCGCTGGCTTTCCAGGAAGGTCCCCCAGAACCCGTTCTCGTTGCAGTAGAGCAGGGACTGGACCCGGGTGAGCCACTCCTGTATCGTCCTGCAGGTGGGGAGAAGAAATCGTTAGCACTGGAGGGCTTCATGGAGTGCTGGGTGTTGGCATCTCACCAGAGCTACGGTGTTTGCTGGGATATATCTGAGGCAGAGCTCTCAGAACATCGATGCCCTGCCGTGGCATCTGGGAGCTATTCCAGTCTATTTCTAGACTGAATCTTTCATCTGCTGTTTACTCCTTTGGTGAAGAGAAAAAGCCTTCTAAGAAATATCTAAGCAGTTAGAACTGATCATCTGATTTCTCTCTCCTCACGCTGCTCTAGGAGCTGAGGCTGGCACAGTCTCCTGCCAAGGATCCCATCAGCACCACAGTGACAAAGTTCAGCTGTGGGAATGGAGCTGATAAAGCCATGCCAGAGGCTGAGGTGCTATCAAACATCACATGGCAGCAGAACATGGCAGCTAGCAGGAGAAAACTCCTCTCCATGTCGTTGGCAAACAGCCCCACTCTCCAAAAACAGACCCGTGATGGGATAAGGCAAAGCCAATAGTAACCTGTGCTTATGGTGCAGAGCTCATAACAGCAGAAAGCAGGGTGGAAGTCAGGATTCATTGAGACAAAGATGCTAAAATAGTTTCTCCTTAATAAAACCCCAAACTCTGCTGCTAATAACCACCTCTTGCAGCCTCTCCCCTTAAAAGCAGCCCCACTTGCCCATCCCTGGGCCCCACCACTCCCACAACTGCTGTATCAGCACTGTCCCCTCCACATCCTGCAGCCCTGGGATGACTCCTAATGAGTGACACTGCAACCCACGTTCGCTTTCTGTGTAACCCACTTGCCACGTTGCTTTTTTTGCCCCCTCTTCCCCCTCCCCAGGAAAAGCTCAGCACAGCGACTCCTTTCTCAGCAGCCTCAGCAGATCGGTCTGTGCAGCCGCTGCTCCCTCCCCCCGCCTCCCCCCGCGGCTAATGAATACTTCATTGTCTCCTGTGGGCAGAAAGTTCCTGGGAGTGCTGCAGTGAGAGGACTGGCTAATGACAAATTAGGATTCAGCCCCTGTAGGACGGGAGGAGTGATTATGGACAGAGGCTCTCAGAGCTGGATTAGCGAAATTCATGGCACCTGCATCGCCTGACCTCCGAATAATCATTAGGCTGTGGGCTGTATCAAAGAAGGCATTAAATGATACAGCAGCAAAGAACAGCAAGATGTTTAGGGGGAGGGAGAGAGTGGAGGGGATGAGAGTGTAAAACAGAGGAAAGCACTGGAAGGAAAGAAATAACCAAGGAGCAGAAGCGGAAAGGGTAGGGGAAGAAAGATGGGAAAATGTGCAGGTAAAAGGAAAAAGAAAGAGAGAAATGCAGGGGGAATAGGGACAGAGAAGGAAAAACTGAAAACAAAAACTGATAGAGAACAGGAAGAAAAGGAGTGAAAGGGGGGGGAAAAAATAGAGGGTGAGGAAAAAGGAAGGGCTTTAGCAGAAAAATTCTGCTCGGATGTGGGAACAGACAATTTTCACATTCCTCCTGTGGTACAGGGCTGCCAGGGTCTCCTTCCCCTGCTCACAGCGGAGCTCCCCTGCTACTGGAAAAGATGTGGTTGGCTGGGGAGCTTGGGAGCAAGGCAGTGACCTCCATAAATATCTGCCCTAGAGGGAGACACTGACAGCCCTGGTCTGTAGAAAAAAATCCTCCTGATTCCTGGGACAGCTCTGCCTCGGAGGGGAGGGGACAGCAAAGCACAGTGGGGCTGCAAAACACGCTGCTGGCATCAACCAGCACATTCAGAACCATCCCTGAGGGCTGGGGCTGCTTCCTGCTCACAGGTGAATTTCTGCTCACTTTTGCAGCAATAGAAATGTTTTACCCCATCCGAAGCCTTGTGGGTTCCTGTTTGGAAAGCCAGTCCAGTGCACCTGGATTTGTGCAGTGATGCTTTTACACGGGTTTAGGTGTTGATAATGCCAATGAGTTCATGGGACAAGGACTGCCTTGTCCCCTGGGGACATGATATAAGTTAGAGTCAGGTGACCACATTTTGTCCATCTCTTTTTGTTCTTTTATACTAAAGGTCAGCAGAGCAAAATGGGAAAGAAGTCTCAGCTGTTATCTTGCAATTGAAATCAGTAAAATTCCCGTTTCCCAGATTAACTTTGTGGAGGAAGTTCAATGGGAAATTGTTTTTTTTTTGTTATGTATAGGTATGTCTTAGCTTTCAGCAAAGACACAAATAGGACAAAAGAAACCCAAAAATCAACAAAAACAAGAAGAAAAAGAGGAAGGTGAGTACCCACCATCTGCTGATGGCAGCAATAAAGGACATAATTAAATGAAAATGCAGAATCCAGGGCAGAGCTGGGCATTGGCTACAAACATGACAATGGGAAGTGTGATAGAGTGAGAGAGTGGAAAAGTGGTATAAATTACCCCATTTTGTCTTGCAACAGGAACAGGTTAAGAATATGCACAGGGCCAGCCAGAGCCCTCCAGCTGACAGGAGGAAACTTTAAAACACACACCTCGGTTCAGACTCCTGGGAATGTCCCCAAGAGATGTTGGGGCAGAAGGAAGCTAAAAAGAGCCACTGTTTAAAAACTGAAAGCCAGTAGCAGAGTAGGCATTGATTTTCATTTCAATTATTTTCCCTTTCACTAAGGAGTCGTCAGTTTATCTTCCTCCAACTTGATGCCATTGCAGAAGTTATTTTGCCTAATGTTTGCAACCTCTGCCAGTTCAAAGCATAAAGTACTAGAGTGTTTTATATTAAAAAAAAAGGAAAACTATGTCTTCAAAGGTCAGTGTCAGGCAATTTTGCATTTAATATCTTTATCTTGCTTTATGTCTTGTATATCTTGGAGGTTTGGGGGAAACCTTCTCTCTCTCTACAGCTATTTGAAAGGAGGGTGGAGCCGGGTGGGGGTCCCAGGGAACAAGGGACAGGATGAGAGAAAACAGCCTCGAGCTGTGCTGGGGGAGATTCAGGTTGGACATCAGGAAGAATTTCTTCATAGGAATGGTTGTCAGGCATTGGAAGGAGCTGCCCAGGGAGGTGGTGGTGAAGTCCCCATCCCTGGAGGTGTCCAAGGAAGGAAAGGACGTGGCACTCAGTGCTCTGGGCTGGGGGACAAAGTGGGAATCGGGCACAGGTTGAACTTGATGGTCTGGGAAGGCTTTTCTAACCTTAGTGATTCAATGATTCTAAAGTGAAAGTAAATACTAAATGCAGGCAAAGCTGGGAGTGGGAGTTACTCTGCAGTGTTTTCTGGTTGTCGCTCACTGGTCCCTGGCAGTGCTGGAACAGGAGCCAGCTTCAGAGCTGTTTCACCATTAAAAAACAATCTGTTCTGACCAAAAAAATAGTGTTTTGCAGGACAGTGTTGGGCTTTCAGACCAGAAGCAGAGGTCAGATTACGCAGAGAGGTGATAAATATTTTTTTTCCTCAGGATTTGTCTTTCTTCAGGATTAATCAGATGTGGGGAAGGGAGGAGGCTGATGGGTATCTCGTGAGACAGAGGTAACTTTTTTGTAGATGCGTCTGAGTCGATTAGAAAAACAAACAGTACTAAAATAAACAAGCCCCCCAAACAAAACAAAACGCCAAACAAAGAAAAACCCACAAAACAAACAAACAAACAAAAAAAAGAAAAGAAAAAGAAACCAACCAAAAATCCGATCCAGCAGGACAGATCCTTTTTTTTTTTTTTTTTTTTAATTTATTATTTGCAAGAATAAAAGGTAAAGATTAAGCAGGTCTTCCTTTGCAAACTCACCTTTCACTTTCCAACCAGCATTAGCTGCTCTGGGGGTACTTTTAGGGATTTCTGTACAGAACGCTGAAGTAAAAAGTGCTATTTTTATTCTCAGCAGCTGTGAAATGTATTCTTAACTAATGACAATTTGGCTGGAGCCCAGAACATGTATAAGCCCAGCTCTCCTTTGGATGTTATTTCTATTTTACACCCAGTGTTTTAAAATGCAACTAAAGGTCCTCATTCGACATCAAAGCTTTAACAACTGGGGAGTGGCTTCTGTTTTAAACCAATAAGCTTGTCCCTTTTTTACATCTGTAAATTTGTCTGGTTTTTAACGAAAGCAGTGCAGACCAAATATATCTGTGTCTATATATCTATATTATGCCTTTATCTATATGACTATATCTATCCCTCCTTCTTAGCTATTGCAAAAGGTCATGGAGAATCAGCCTAATTGCCAGAATCCCTACTCTTCCTTTCTTATCTTTCTTTTGGAATCACCACCTCTCCCTTTCCCTGAGGACAGTCAACAGCAATCCCATTTCTTTTTTTTACATTGCCTTGAATGCATAATTTAGGCTTATTATTACGTGTGTTAAAGAGAGAGGGGCTTGCTCCTAACAGAACCTTTCCATCCTTTCAAAGCCACTCACATGCCTGATAAGCATCTGCTGCCCTGTGCAGCAACAATTAGAAAATTAGAGTATTTCCCAGCCCTGTGAGCAGAAAGATGGGAATCAAACCTCCTCCAAGACAGAGCTGTCTCCAGAGCTGCTCCCCTGCCTACCTACAGATGCACAATGACAAATAAGAAAAGAAATGATAATATGCCTGCTGATGTTGACTTAAACAAATCAAGCACATCAGTCAGTTAAAAACCCAGCTGCCATCATCCATTTCATCCTCCTTCCCCCAGATTTCATTGTAGTAGTTGGAGGCTCCCTTTCTGCTTGGCTGATTTTTTAAAATAGATGAGAAATGCTCAAGACATATTTATCTGAATGTTTTGAAGCAACGTGGTTGGCTGGATGTTTGCTCACTGCTGCTTCTCTTTGTTGTTGTTGTTGTGGCACAACTAAAAATACCTCCTGGGCATGGCTGTGACTCCTCCAGCTCCTTTCCTGGTCGGAGCAGCTCAGCCACTTGGCAGAAATAGGCCAGGTTTAGGAAGCTCTCCAAAGACTTTTTTTTTCATAATCTCTCACATTTAATAGATATTTCTCCTCATCCCTAGTAAGTCCATCAAATCTTTTTCCAGAAACATGAGATTTCTTGGTAATTAAAGAGATGTTAAGCCCTGGAAGAGTTTTCTGAGCTGCACAGTGATGAAATGAAAAGTCAGCACATTTAGCAGCCTGGGAGCTGGATGAGAACAGGAGACAGCAGTCAATCACTCAATTGTGTCTTCAAACTAAATATTTAGGTAATGAAGGAAGTGAGAAAAAACCCCCAGTTTCTACAAATATTAACTTCTCCTGACCCTTCCAAGAGAAACATGGAAGAAAAAGCACTTGGGCTCATTTCCCCCCTGCAGGATTTTCAGTATTACCTTACTCCAGACAGTATAGAAAGACACAGCAAGAGATGTTTATTAATTTCCACAGATGCGAGTCCCCAAAATTGCTTGAAGCAAACAAACCCAGCTATAGGTGAGGGCTGGGAGGAGCCAGCAGGAGGGGACTTTTCAGTATCAATAGTTGCTGTAGCTGTAATGGAAAATCTGCTCTCTCCACCTGTAAGAACCCTGCAAGGCCTCTGGTCAGTGTGGGTTTGCAGGTTCACTTTGCATTGCATAGAAGAAATGTGACGTATTCCAAATGAAACTAAAGCTTCTCTTTGGCTCTGCTCATTGAGGAGCCCAACTCAAAACTGGGCTGAAGCATCTTGTGCTCCATATGTTCCCCTTAACAGCAAGTGAAGCCTTTAGGCTTGGCTGGGGTTTATGAGGTGAAACCACTAAAAAGCAGCTTAGTCTGCTTGATGTCAGCCCTGGGATAGTCACAGAATCACAGAATACGCTGAGTGGGAAGGGACCAACAAGGATCATCAAGTTCAGCTCTTAGCCCTGCACAGGACCATCCCCAAGAGTCACATCATGTGCTTGAGAAGATCATCCAAACTCTCCTGGAGCTCTGTCAGCCTTGGGGCTGTGCCCACTGCCCTGGGGAGCCTGTTCAGTGCCAACCACCCTCTGGGGGAAGAACATTTTTCTAACATCCAACCCAAACCTGCCCTGACACAACTCCAGGCCATTCCCTGGGTTCTGTCCCTGGTCCCCACAGGGGAGAGCTCATTGCAGTTCCAAGTTCCATAGGAGGGGCAGGCCCCTCAGTATTGCTGCAGAACACCACACAACGAGGGGTGGATCACAGAGAAGGGAGGTGATTGTTCTCAGCTCTATGAGGAAGGTTACCTACACCTCCAGAAATTTCAACCCCCTCCCAGATTTTACCATTTCCCCCCAAAACCTGTGTGCTTGCACACCCTGCCGGGATTATGTCCAAGCACCACCTCAGCTCCACCAGCCACCCTCCCCAGCCCACCTGTCCCCAGTGAGGGATGGAGGTACCTTTCCCTAGGCAGCTGGTGGTTTGGATTGTGCCGACACCGGACACTGAGGCCAAAGAGTTTGCGGGCAGTGCGCTGGATCTTCTGGCGCTGGGCTTCCAGGGAGCTCTGCAGCATCTTGTAGCGGTTCTGCAGGTCCCAGTCGTTCCCCCAGTGCTGGTGGATGCTCCCAATGGTCAGGAAGTGGTTGCTAGGTAGCCTTTTCATGAAGGATTTAAACTCATCTGGAAGAAGGCACAAAAATGGGGAGGAATGCAGAGGTTTCTGAGCTGTAAGGACGTTTCAAAGCTTCTCGTTAGCAGGATGTAGGAGGGCATCAGTGAAAGTGATATCCAGTAATTATCCTCTGTCAGCCTGCCCCAGGAAACCCCTAATTCCGTGGCTGTTGCTGTTCCCATATAAGAAACCCCCCCCATACTGAGTATCAAGGTGAAACAACACAGTTAAAGTGCACAGGGTGGAGAAAAAAAAGAGAGAAAGTCCCTGGAGCATGAGATTATAGTGTAGGGCTTATAAACAAAAAGCTGGGAGTTGTAATCATTGTCAGTTAAAAAGTTCTCATTTACATTGTTTTTCAGCTGTTTGTTGTTGAAGGTAAAGGGCTTTGGCAGTGTTGTTAAAACAAAAGGAAAAAAAAAAAAAAAAGCTTTTGAAATTCCCCAGTGGAAGGGTTTGGGTTGTGCTAAAATGTCCTGCTTTCTCATTTTTTAAAAAGGGCATTCTGATTCTTTTTACACATTTTACTCCGTTTGAAGTTAAATGAGTGGCATTATGTAACAATGAAAATAAAATAAAATAGTTTGCAGGGCTCAGGTGAGAACAAAACGTGTCAATTTTAACTGAAGGGGAAAAAAAAACTGATTGATTGAGAAATATATTGTTCGATGTTGGGGTTTATTGCTGTTTTCTTTGTTGTGTTTATTGGTTTTTTTGATTGCTTTATTTCAATTTTACTTTGTTTGATAATGAAAAAAAACCCCACCATAATGCAGGGGGGTTTGAGTGTTGTTTTCTTTTTAATCACAAATCAGAAAAAAACCCCATGAAGTGAAGAAGAGAAGGTACTTAAAATACAAAGCAGAGAAACTCCTCTTAGTACAGACAGATGATACAACAAGAGGAAGAGTTGGTAACCTGAGAAGTTAAAATGATTCACTGAAGAACTTCGTCACTTGGAGATAATGCAGCACTGCTCAGAGGTGTGTAAAAATCCCATTTTAGACTCTGCTAGACAAACCCATGACTGACCTGACCTAGTGCTGGTTGTAGTCCTGCTTCTAGAGGCAGGTTGGACTAAAAACCTGCCCTAAACTTTGCAAAGTAGCCAACAAGACATGCAGCCATCTCTTCCTATCTATGTTATTTTTCATCCTTTCCTAGTATTTTTTTTTTTATTATTCTTTCATCCCATTTTCAGGAGGAAAAGAGGACAATAGCAAAAAAAAAAAAAAAAATCAAAAAAGGAGAGTCTGTAAAAGCTGATATCTTTGCAATTAAAAGAAATAATCCATAGAATTATTGGAGAAAATCAGACCGGATAATTTACACCCTGCAGTGCAAAGTTAAAGATATTGGCATAACAGATTTCCTATTATTCATCAACTTGCAGTTCATGCTTAACTGCCTAACAAAGAGTATCAGTGCATTAGTCAGTACCAGCATCACGTAGATGGGAAATGGATGTTCCCATCCTACTCATCACATGGTGTAACCGAGCACCTCATAAAAATAATCATCACCATTGCACTGCCGACATCCGTGGGACAATCTGCTTGTCTCCTCCAAAGATAACTAAGAGGGTTGTTTTTTTTTTTTTTTAATCATCTCTCAAGTTCCCACTCTATTTTTAATGCTGCTTTCAGTGCCCTTCTCCTCCCCAAAAAACGCTTCTCTCCTGCTCAGTGGTCCTCTGAAACCATCACCACGCCTAATTGCTCCTGTTGACCACGCTGATTACTCCGGGTACCTTTCAGCAGTAAAAGCCTTGCATTTGCTTCCCACCCCTTATAAATCAATTTCCTCAAAAGCCTGTTTGTGCAGAAGCCCGAGCTCTTTTCCCTCTGATGATGAATGTGCTACATTTTTCATCGAGACGGGGAAGGCAGGAATTTCGGTGCAGTGTGCACATTTTGCTACCGCAGTGCAACGTTGGGGGAAAAACAAATGAGCAGGAAATCTGGCCAAGTAAAAGCTGGATGGGGTAGTTTAAAATAAAAGAGATGAGAGAAAGAAAAAAAAAAAAAAAACACAAAAAAAGAACAACCACTTTCAAAGCTGGATAGTTTCTTCATTATTAATGTATAAACTTTGTAAGTGTGCCTGGAAACCAAGAGTATGGATGGGGATATTCCCTATTTCTGAGAATAGTTAATTCTTAACTCTGAGAATTTCCAATTAACTAATAAATCTATTTGCATTTGGTGTTGTTTTAGTTCTCTGCACAGAAAATGTTGGTTATGGCTGGGACTACACCTCCCATGATGCTGCTTGGCCCCTCTTTTTTGCTGAGTCAGTCCCTGCAGGGAATCCCATGGCAATGACTCAGCATGACACTGTCCAGCCTCTGCAGCAGACTGGTGGCACCACAGTGAATTTATATGTCAGACATCTCTTTCAAAAAAGAAACTTTCTTTTTTCTAATGTT